CGGACCATAAGGTGCACGGGATTATAAGGTACATTAAGCGAAAAAAAGCAGTCAGATAAATCAAACTTTATTAAACTCATTCTTCTTGCTTCCTCCACTTCTGTACCATTGATTCATTAATGTTGAATTCTCTGGCAGCTGCTCTATTCCCATGTTGTTGCAGTATATTAATGACTAACCTCGTATTGTGGATGGATTATCTCAGTTGTTCTCCTGACTGAAGTTTGGTCCGTTTACAGCATCCTGCCATGCGATTGCATTTGTCTCTAACCATGAAGAACCTTCACGTTAACTTTTATAAGTGGAAAAGTGTTAGTGTTCGTCCTCCAGCTTCACTGTTTATGTTATGCTAACATAGCTGTGTCGCTAGCGATCACGTAGCACATCATTATATACCAGCTAGCCCAACTTCAGTAACCCTACAAACGTCACTGCTGTTTAGTTTCCTGTCTTCATTTATGTTGGAAGTGATAGCAGAGCTGTACGTTTGATTTTTTTCAGAAATCTCTCAGTCAGAACATGTAATATCATGCTTAGGTAACTAGCGAAACTAGCGAGCTAACTTCCGCTAGCTTCCTGCTAACTTCTAACTCCGTTAAATGTAATAACTTTTGTTTTCATGGATGCCTGGAAGTTAAACTTTATAGTTACACCTGGTAAAGCAGCAATGCTGATCGTTTTATTAAAGATGAAAGAATTTAGACAGTTTTTAACTCTAAGTGATGCTGCAGTGTTGAATACGGCGTTTAGGACCCAGATTACTCCCAGATTTAAGAGCATCTTAGTCCGACAAATACGACAATAACAACGGCCGCTTGCATGTTCTGCAAAAAAATGTGCTTTGTTGTGTATCTGACGGACAAACACCAAACCAGTTCCACATCACGGAAGTTGCACCATTTTTACAAACCAATTCTGGTTCATCTATTTCACTCAACAATCGGCCATGTGCGTATGAAAACAAAGGCACTGCGCATGCGCGTTTTACTCCCATTCTATCGCGATATTTCATTTTCCTATCGTTGCCTAACATTATACCGGTATTACCGTGAACGGTATAATATGGCCCAGCCCTAATTGGAGATGTTGCTAAATCTAGTGTACCTAAAAGCTAAAGCATGAGAGACGAATCTGACATGATCACGACACAATACAAGCTCCAATCTGAGGAATAAGGATCTTTCTGCAAGTGAGGAAAACTCCAATTGCTGAATGTAGGAAGATCTACTCGAAGAGTAGTTGTTGATTATGATTGCTTATTTGCAGTGTCCGCAGAGATCGCCAGTTGGTAGTCCACGTATGTAAAATGTGTTGGTAGGATGAGAGTTAATGCATGTATTTAGGTATGAAGCTTGAACCTTTACCTTAGCTGTGCTGTCAATATCTTTCCTCCTGAAGACCCCATAGTTTAAGGCCACGGCCGTGTTGTCATTGATGAGCTGAAGGACCTTTAGACCTGCAATGTGTGCAGCATGCAGGACTGCCCTGCGCTCTGCCTGGTTGAAGAAGGCTGGGACAGTGATCACTGCATCTTTGATTGTCTGTTCTGTGAATTGAAGAGAATGTTTTTATTTTTTAATATGTCCTGAACATATGTGAACATGCCTCACAATGATACATCATCTGCGTCAAGCAAACTAACCTGCAAAGTCCTGAGCCAGTCCACGAGAGTAATTAAGGACCATCCCCAAGAGCTCCTCTGGTGTGTACTGCATTTCTCTGACAGAAACATAATACACTTAGGTAAGCCTCACTAGGAGAGTGTTGTGTTTCTGGTAATAACCGATTAATAACATCGGTAAAATTCTGGACTGATGTGTTAGGCCAGGGGTGGGCAACTCCAGGCCTCAAGGGCCGGTGTCCCTGCAGGTTTTAGATGTGTCCTTAAACCAACACAGCTGATTTAAATGGCTAAATTAGCTTCTCAACATGTCCTGAAGTTCTCCAGAGGCCTGGTAATGAGCTAATCATTTTATTCAGGTGTGTTGACCCAGGGTGAGATCTAAAACCTGCAGGACACCGGCCCTCGAGGCCTGGAATTGCCCACCCCTGTGTTAGGCAGAACTCTCAACAACAAAACACAAAATCAGGTAATAATTTCTGGAGGAATGGCATTGACCAGTGAAATTCCAGAGATCCAAGAATCAATGTCAAAGCTGTGAAGCCACACTGGTAGCACACAATAACACACTTTTGGTGTTTACTTTACATCTGTTCCTAGTGTATACAGATTTTGTAATATGAATATGCGTGAATGTGTAGTGAATAAATAAAAACAAGGTAGCATATAAAGAGGCTCACTCTGAGTTTTTAAAGTGGACAGTGCCTCTCACTGGGTCCTCCTGCAGATGGTGTTCAGGAAAACGTTTCTGGTAGAGTGCCACCTGGAGGTTCTCATGCTTTTTACCCAGGAGGCTTTGGAGATGTCTATAAACACTTTTGGGGTTCTTGACGGACTGAAATGTGGTACAAAGCATGGAAACATTAACAGCATACATGGCAATATCTGAATATGCAGTTGTGATTTAGCCGATTAAGTCAATTCTGGAAATTTTAGAAGAAGTCTTACTACTCCCATTGCACTGTCTCCAAAAAGTCTCTCGTTCTCCTTGAGACATACAACTGTGGGTGTTTTCCTCCTCGACTCTCTGATGGAAAAGACAATACATACAATGGTAGCAACGCATGCTTTTCTTCTATTTTTGAGCATATACAAGAAATAAGGAACGCAATGGTGCCATTTTCTCTATTTGGGAATGTGCTCTCACTTGTTTAGAACAATCTCCATTGGCACGCCAGGTTTAACTATTGCTATTTTCATCCACTCGCTGCCCAGGTCAACTGACATGACAGCCACGGTCACTGGAGACAAAAAGATCAATTGTTAAGTAAAGCAGGCAGACAGCTAACACCTACCTACAGTGTACTTTTTCTATTCCACTGCATGTGTTCATCAATGAGACCATGTTTCAAACTGTGCTGCTTTTAACAGTAACCTATGGTTACTGTTAACCTTAAGTACCAGAAGAAAAGTCAAGCTAAATTATTATGTTACCTATGTGAGAAGGGAACATTGCCAGAACAAGACAGAAGAGAGCAGCCGGCACCAGCTTTCTACCCTCCATCACTAGCTGTAAAAATCAGAAAAGGGAAACATTTTAGTAAAAAAATAAAGGCATTAGCAGAACTGATATATACCCTAGCTGGTCCTAACAAGTATCCTCACATAAGCTTTAAGATGTTCTTTTGCTCATTTATCCTATACTTTTCTTGAACGTTTTTCAACTGTAGAGTATATGTCTTGATAAAACAGACTTGTTTTATCTGCTGTGTGTCGGTTTTTAAACAACTGTCCAAAAGTTTTAATGTGTCCTCGCCTGGTGATGACCTTGGCTTAAGGATATGAAAAACATGTATTGCACCTGATTCCACCTACTTAGGCATACACCATTCTGAACACGTGGCATTAATAGCATTATCAAACAGTGTGCTGAAGCCACAGCTTCAGATCCACACAAGTACCTGCACAATGCTTTTGTTAAAGGGAGAAAACAAAAAGGAACACGAATAGAAACTTCTAGTACCCATCGAGATATGACACATGAATGAAAAACGGATGTACACCAGAAAGCCTTACTTTTTCATTTTATTACATATTAATACGCCACCGCTTTTTTAGCTTTTCCGAACCTCTATACGTGCTGGCTAACGATAAGATGACCAACACGCTCCTGACCATTACAGAGCCAGGTGAGATACACACCAGTAAACGGTCTACTCAAGTACAGCTGGACCAGAAGTGTACGCTCTAAACAAAAGTACCGATACGCTGATACAAAGACCACTAACAGAAGTTGAAGGCTACAGTTAGCTAGTATACTGTCTGCAAAACCATCACTATAAAAGCATACATTTATCGATATAATGCTACAGCGCTAGCATTGAATCAGTCTTCAGTCGGCACAAATAAAAGTGAAAGACACCAACATACTGTGCTTTTCCAGGCGGGTTATGAGGTTAGTTTCTCGGTTGGTATCTTTATTCAGAGCTTCTTTGTTGTCACACTCGGTAGTTTTGGTTCCCCTTATCACCGGCTTGTTCTCAGTTGTCGGGCCCGGAACGCGGCGTCACCTCATTGGATCCACTGAAGCCGCGACCGGGAGAAAAACTGTGGTCAAGTTACTTAAAACCAAGTATACTGTAACCGGTTACCTTTTGGGATGAAAACCAATCGAAGACTGACGATAAAGCGACCGAGCGCAAGTTATTAGTTTTTCCCTACAGTTGATTGAATTGGAAATAAAGAACACATTTATATTTATATATTAAAATTGTTATCATTGACATTTTCTAATTTCGCAGGGGGGTCGTATAAAGTTGGTGTTATTGATTAAAGGAGCTGAACTAGTTATGTGCTCTTGTTATGAAGGAGACACCTCTAAGCTTCCGGTAATTACTTTCCACCGTCTTGACGACTGGTCCCAATGTAACGCTAGAGCCTGCCCACCGTGTTCCACGCACTGCTTAGTGATTGGTCCACGCGAAATCCTGAACCCAAATCTCGATCCCATTGCTACACGTCAACATAGTGGGCGTATCCGGAATGACGCAATTTCCAGGTAAAGCGTGAGCACGCCACGTGCCTCCATGGAATAAACTGTTTTATTGACAAAAGTGAGGACATTTTTGTCAATTTTTTAATAAACTTTATGTTGTTTGCTCTCACAATGGCTGTTTTAATGTCTTCATGTGTGATTTTAATATATACCCTATAGAAATCCGCATGCATGCATGGAAGTCAGTTGCAAATTACTACCTGATGTAGGAAATAGAATTAGTGGTTTATAAGGTGCTTGTGTACAAAAGCTGCGTGCCAAGTCCAAATGATGAACACTTCAAAGCGAACAACATACATCTACATACTCAGAATGCCATAAACAGTAATGTCAAAGAGCAATGTTGACAGTTTAAAGGTTACAGAGCACACAACACAAAATATGTCAGGAAGCACTGAAACACTTAATGACGACTTTATTTTCAAATGTAATGCTCAGGTTATAGTGCCAGGCGTAATTTCAATAAAGATCAATGGCTGACTTGTTTTTGATTGCTATGTGCAAGACAGTACATACACATACACGCATTAGCTAAAGCCTCCAACACGTGACTATTCAAATCACAGTATGACCATTTTAAAACACAAATGTAGGCAATTTCCAGTCATTGGCCCAAACTGAAACAATTATGTAAAAAGGACCATCAAAATTACTAAAAGCAGGTGGCTTTAATTTCTGATAAATAAAGGGGGCAACACATGCAGCATCTTGTCCTGAACCTGAATAAGATGTAGCCTCTCAGGTAAAATTGAGATTGTAAATACAAGATTTCTAGCTGTTTCTCTTGGTGTGGATGAGAAGGTCCCTCTGCAGGTTGACTTCCAGATTCCCTACAGATTTGCTGCCAGGTGGGTCAGTAACTAGGGTCAATTTGTTGAAGACTCCTCGGCCAAAATAGTCAGCTACCACAGAGAATCCATCGTTAGAGCTGCGTAACTGTAAACCAGAGCAAAGACAAAAGAAAACTTGTATTTTCCAATATTCCTGTCGTTTTCAAATAAGCTTTTTAAATAACAAAAGCAGGTTATTAGACAATATTAAAGCAGACCACGCACATATTCAACATGAACACGTTCTTTGTCTTTTGGTGTACGACTTATTGTTACCTGTCTGTTGAAGTGATCGTGCAAATCGCGTTTTTGGTCCTGGGCACGCAGCATGTCCATGACTTTTCGGTTTTCTGGAGTGCAAGTTGGGCACTCCGCCTCGCTCTCAGCATAGCTTTCAAAGCAGTGTTGGTGGAAGGAGTGGCAGCACAGGAAGTGAACAGATGGCAGGTCCAGTGGGCTGTTGCACATGTTACACTTTGTCTTCTGGAATATCTTGGCACTGTGTGGAAATATTAAGTTTAAGATTTATGGTCATACTTGGCAGTTTCTATAACTCTACAGCACTCTACTGACATGAGCAGTAAGAGATAAGTTGGGTGCATAAGTAAATAGATGGTGACAATATTCTTTGTTATTTTGCTGATGTACACTACAATAAGATTCATACATCTTACAATAGAAAGAAACATGATCGAGATGTGACTGGAGTCCAGACTTTTGAGTTTAATTTAAGGGGTTTACCAAAAATACCGCATTAACAGTTTCAGTTACTTTCATAATCTCAATGGGAAAATTAGTTCTCAGATACAAAATTGTGCTTGTATCGTGACATCAGAAGTTCATTACAAGTACTCAATCTGCGCATAGTAACTATTTAAAGGAATTTTTAAGTTGTCCACAGAGGTGTTGATATACTGTGCTGTGAAAAAGTAGGTGCCTGGGTACTGATTTCTTATCTTTTGAATATTTGTCAGATTTACATGTTTCAAACTAATTTTATTAAAGACAACCCAAACAAATACAACATGCAATTTTAAATTATTATTTCATTTATCAGGGTAAAAAAGCTATCCAAACCTATCTGGCCATATAGAAAAGTAACTGCCCCCTAAAAATAATAAGTGGCTGTGCTACCCTTGACAGTTGGAGCTGGAACAAGCAACAGTAATAACAGGCAAATTGCTATGGAGGAATTTTGCCCCACTCTTCTTTCGAGAACCATTTTTGTTCAGCCACATTGGAGGGCTTTCACACATAATCTGTCCAAACTTTGACTAGGCTACTACAAAACCACCTTTTATTCCTCAGGAATTATGAGGTGGACTTGTTGTTGTGTTATCTTTGTTGCATAACCTAACTCCACCTGAGCTTCAGGCCACAAACTGATGGCCAAATACTCCTTCAGAATTTTAGAATAGAGAGCAAAATTCAAGGTTCTATTAACTACAACAAGTCATCCTGAAGCAACAAAGCAGCTGCATACCACCACCATGTTTGTTTGTAGGTATGATGTTCTTTTTGTGAAATGCTGTGTTAGTTTCATACCAGATGTAATAGGGCAGAAACTTTCCAAATAGTTCAACTTTTCTCTTGTCGGTCAACAGAGTATTTTCTGCAAAATCTTTGAGATCATTGTGTAAGATGAGTCTTTGTTCCAAGGAGGGGGTTTCTGCCATTTTTGCCATGTCTGTTTTCCAATCCCAAAAGCCTTACAAATGGCTTTGTAACCCCTTCCAGACTGATGTCAAAACTTATTTCTTCTGTGAACTTTTACTTTGTCATTTAAGTGATTTTCTTTTAATTTAATAGGTGTTTCACTAATCAGACCAGGGTGTGTCTAGTGAAACTGAACTCATCTTTCCAAAAATGTGGTTACAGACAATTAATGATTTCACATTTGGTAGTGATTTAATTAATTAAATCATCATTTCAAAACTGTATTTTGTATTTACTCAGGTTATCTTTGTACTCACTCAGAAACATGTAAGTGTGACAAATACGCAAAAACAAAGTAAAATCAAAAAGGGGGTAAACACTTTTTACACAAGCTACAGAGAAGGAGCAGAGTAGGAGAAAGACAAAGAGTGTGACACAAAAATCAATAAATCCTTAAGGGGAGAGTTTTGCATCACCAAAACACCTAGAAAATAGGATGTGACCAAGTTCAGAAAACAAGTTTTACTGTCAAAGTCAACAATAAAAGACTTCTTCAACAATATTCAAACAATTTACCTCAATATGAAAACCTCTGTTTACACTTATAAACAACAAATTTATATATGAAACTAAAATGAACTAGCAGACACATAAGAGATGGAAAGCCAGTAACACTTCATCATACACCACCATCAGCTGTGGTGAACACAGTGAAAGCAACTCAAGCACATTTCAAGGTAAATAAATGGAATGATCCAAATATTCCTCTTGTTTTTGAAATGAAGTCAAAACAGCAGAAAGAACCACAAACAAGCAGCAAGTCAGCAGGAAGTCCAAAGAATTTGGCAATTTACAAGGATTTCAGATTTCACTCACTTGAAAGCATACAAGTACTGAAAATAAAGCAGGTGTAACGGTGGGATTTGGCATGTTATTGCAGCTGCTCTCAGCTGCCATACCTTTTTGTGCCAGGTCAAAATATGGTCAATAAACTTACAGCCGGAATGAAATTATATGCCTATTCAAGGATTTAGCCACTAGGATGTGAAGGAAATGGGTTTGAGAGCCTCCAGGTGTATTAAACTGTCCTCAATCAGGGCAAGGCTGTGAGACGCAGAGTTTTGAAAGAAGAGGCCACTCAAGCATCTCTGGGGTTCTGCTTCCCTCCTCTTGTTTATTTGGAAATTATTATTATTTTATGTCTCATCAATTAAACACTGAGCTGTTCGCGGGGTGAGGAACCACAACTCAAGATTGACTGGACCAAGTGAGCTGGCCTAAATCTTAAAAATGGAAGCCTGGTTCGTGACTTTACAACGAGGGTCGCTGTCCAGGTAAGCCCACACTTCTTTCCATGTCTTGTCGACAATATCTTGTACCTGGTACGTGCAGTGTCACTGGTACGTGCAGTGAATGTTAGTTAGAAAGCACTTAGAAAATGTGCTTGTGAATGCACAAGTTGTGTAAAGCGCTTTGAGTGCTCAGTAGAAAAGCGCTATATAAGAACCAGTCCATTTACCATTTACCATTCACTCTGCGGATTGTCGCTAGAGTGATGCGAAATTAATCTTTATGCACATAGACACAGATTGGCTTGGCAACCATGACACTGCAGTTCAGGTTGTTCTCTCTCAGTATTCTCCCTCAGATGCTTAGGACCTTATAGCAGCAGACACGACTCTCCTCACCATTACACGAACATCAGGTCAGTTTGTCAGAGCTACAGTTGGATTTTTACACAATTTAGTAAAGTTCACAGTGGAAGCAGTCAGAATGGAACAAATATCTGAGAAATGTATCTACTGCAAGTTGTTTGGAAATGTCCCAGAAAATGACCTGAATGTGAGATCTGCAAAATTCCTATCTGATGAAGTTTTTGATATTTACGGACACTTTTCTTCCCAGTATCAGCTGAACACATCATGAACAAAGAGCAGTCTGAGACTGTGTAGTAGGGCTGCCACGATTAGTCGACTAGTCACGATTACGTCGACTATCAAAATCGTCGACGACTGATTTAATAGTCAACACGTCGGATTAGGTAGGATTTAAGAGTGTAATAACGGACTGAAACAGAAGATTGCAGCACTGCATGTACAAGGATGCCAGCTGCCGTTGTACCCCGAAGAAGAAGCTGTGTCCCAGAATTCATAGCGCAGCCCAGCTCAGTTTCAAACAATGGCGGCAGCTAGTTAGTTTTAATATTACTCTTATTATTTTTTCTGGGTCACAAAATAAACATTTAACATATTTTCAGGCGAGAATGTAACTGTGTAAACCTCAAATATCTGCTCAGTTTATCAAGACACCACATATTTTCAAAAGCGCTCCGACGTTTTCGGAGACGTCTGTTACCCACTAGCTCAATAGCTAGCCGGGGGCAAGGCTCACTAGAGCCCATGAGAACAGCGGACTCCCGGCAAATCGTTTTCAAATCCACCGCCGTCTTTCGCTACTCAGGTTAAACATATATAAGTCACTTTGATAACTTAAAAATGTTATTGTTTGGCTTTTTTTTAGTATTTTATTTGTTCCTGAGCAAAATCGGTTTGGCTGAGATGAAAGTTATAGTTTTTACACAGCTGAATAAACGTCAAGCAAACAACTGATTATCAGAAGTGTGAGATGCTGGAGAATATACTCCGGTGTCCTGTTATATTTTAGATAGCAAGGAGTTTATTAAACTTCACCGAAGCAATCTGCAAATTTCATTAAAATTTAATAAACTATCATCTTGTCTTTAGTTTTAGTTAGCACATACCTTAAACACTTAAAGCTGTAAGCTAATGATAGTTATATAAGAGCAGACGCATGCTGGTGCAATAAGCTGTACGTTTTACGTCCAATGGATGCATGATCTGATTAGTCGACTAATCGCAAAAATAATCGGCGACTAGTCGACTATCAAAATAATCGTTTGTGGCAGCCCCACTGTGTAGCTCCCCCTAAGCTGAAATAGAGTCGGACAAATACACAGCAAGCAAATCACATAAACCCTCTTAGCAGGGTTAAAAATAATTGTTACTTTCCAAATACTCATAGGCATGGACTTGATGTATTAGCTATGAAAGAGTTACGTTTACAGAAAATCCCATCCTTTATGTGACCAACCTTGTTTTGAGCTCCTGGATTTCTGAGCGAAGGTGAGCCGTTTCATCGCGATACTGTCGGATTTTCCGTTCATCATCCTCAATCTGTTGGTTCTCTCTAAGCAATTTGTTGATGAGGTAGTCTTTGATGACGGAGAGAGTGGCTGTCGAGTTGTGGGCTAATGTTTGCACCACTACAGCAACAAAAGAAAAAAAAATATGACACCTTTAAAATTACATTCAACTGACATGATCTTTACCTGAACCTATACTGTAACGTGTGGATCACACTCTAAACAACCAATGCATGAAGATAAAAATGTACTTACCAAGTAATGGAGGCATCAGGTTGTTTTGATCAATGTGATGTAGGACCTCACTGATATAAGTTTTGCAGTCTTCTTCCTTTCTGGCAAAGTATCCCAGCGCCTGCTCCCAAAGGCAACACTCTTGGTCCCCATAACTTTTGCAGGCCTCCACTACTTTTCCATACTCCTCATTCTGCATGTGGTAGTGCATAATCTGCTGGTACCTGCATACAAATGTCTCCAGTTAGTGATAAATAGTAAGATGTTCTAGCTTTACGCAGGGCTTTTTTTCCCGTTTTAAATAGAGCAACAAACTATTTTTCTAGGCTACACGAACAGCTTACAAATGAGTGAGACACCATTTCTGCTTTAAAGTGTGAGTTTATATAAGCAACACAGCACTTTCAGAAAGACATGTATTGTAATGAAAAGTACTCTCCGCTGCTGAGTAATCCATTATTGTAAATTTTAATGTTATTAGGAAATGATCAGACAAACAAGGGTTTTTGGGGAATACTGTTAAATATTCAGATCTAGAGTCTGATTAAAGTGCTGTGTGTTTGTTTTTTGTTTTTATTTTTAACATTATGAGAGAACCCAATTCAGTTTAATAAAAGATTAAAAGCTACATTAAGGCTGTGATTTTTAGTATCTGCATGGATGTTAAAATCACCCACAATAATTATTTGATCTGAGCCGAGCACTAAATCAGATAAGTCTGAGAAATTAGATAGAAACTGAGTAAAGGCTAAGTAGATGACAGATAGCAAATAAAACTGTTTTTTGGGGGGGTTGACAAGATTAAGCATCAGGCTTTCAAATTAATTAAAACTGTCTGGGTCTTTGGTTTATTAATAAGCTGGAGGGGAGGATTGTTCCCAGTCCCCTGATAGTTAGAATGGCTTGGGGGTGTTGATTCATTTAAGCTAACTCCTGCTGTAACCAGGTTTCTGTAAGGTAGAATAAATCGATTTGTTGATCAATTATTAAGTCATGTACTAACAGAGAAGAGAGAGACCTAATATTTAATAATCCATATTTTACTGTTTTACTCTTTGGTGCAGTTATGGATGCTATATTGTTTCACAGTGGTTGTTGGTGTCTGTAGCTTCATATGTGTCAAAACAGAATCATCAATAACCATAATTTGGGCAAAAACAATTGATTGCGAAATCAACAGGGCTTCTGTTTAGAGCCATCCTCCTCACCATCACCAGGAAGTCATTTTTAAGGAAGGGAAATGGAAAGGCTGAAGTATGCCAAACTGCACAAGAGCTGGACTCAAAACCAGTGCCAGCGAGTCTTATATATTTCTAGGACATTTTTTATGATGAATTCCTTTGTGGTTTTCTTTTTTTGGTTCAAATCATCATCGGTATGTACAGACAATTTTTCAAGAGGCCTCGAGAACTATTCCTGAAGGCTACTTAAAGAAGTGACAAGTCTGCCTAAGACAGCTCAGGCTGTGTTGTAAAGAACAAAAGTACTCTTGCCAAATATTGACTTAAGGTTAATCACTGCAAATACAGTGGTCCCATGCTATAACGCTGTTCAACTTTCGCTGATTTTTTTGTGTGTGCAATTTTTTTTTTTTCTTTTCAGTGCATCGTGTTCTGCATCTTGCTCGGCTGTAGACCATTGTCAATCGATCTCCTCCCTGCTGTATCTCCTGCACAGTACAGAATGTGTTCGGCTTGTCAAACTTACAGAAATCTTTGATCGCTGGCAGTGTGACTATGAAGTGCTGTACTGTATGTTTGTAAGTTTTCTCCCCAACAAACACAACAATGTCGACGAAACGTTTTGCACCGTGAAAGGCACCTGCAGGTGCCTTTGTTTTCATTCTATAATACTGGACTTCTTTTTCTACGAAGGTTTGAACTTTGAGAGTGTTTAAACAAGAGAGAAAAGCGTGAAAATGTTCATGCTTGTCGGAGAAAAGTGTATAAAGTGTGTAGTGAGGGTTTTACAGCCTTAAAAGACCTGTAATAATTGTAAAAAATAAAGTTGACTACTTTGCGGATTTCACCGATCGCAGGTTATTTTAGGGAACATAAGTCCCGCATTAAATGAGGGACTTCAATTTTTTCTAGAAAAATAAAAAGGAATGAGAGATGACTCATTCCTCTCATGACAGATCACAATGTCATCTGGAAACACAGTGCAAGTCAGTACAACAAACAATCCTTACCACATTGTGTAGGACATCCTAGCTATGATTTGATGCATGCTGGGGCACTTTTTAAAACTTTTAAAACTTTATCTAGAAGGACATTACACAAAGGAAAAAGTCAAGTTAAATCAGCTAATTGCTCTAACTGTCTGGTATGCAGCCATGCTGGTACAGCTGTAACTCACAAGTCAGACCATTTATCAATTTGATGGAATGAGTTTCAGTTTCTTACAGATAATTATCCAAACCATCACCCCAAAGAGAAGATCCAAGTATGGGGTTGGACTTAAAAGCTTGAAAGGAATTATCATGTTTTCACAAGAGACTGGAACAAGTAAATTACATCAGTTTTATAAAAAAGCAGTAATTTTACACAGGCAGGATCACCAACAAACAAACCATTATTTGTCACATACACAATCATACACAGTACAACATGTAGTGAAGTGTTTGTGTCCGAGCTGTGGACAGGCTGCAGACGTAGCCACGCCATTCCAGGGCTTGGTATTAGCATAGGTAGGTAACAGGAGTGACCTATAAGCATCTTTTGCTGACGTACACATAAGCTGAGGATGTATAATAAAGCATCCTTTATTGATAAAACATCCTTCAGTGATGTGTAACAATGATCCAATGTTTTGTTACACCTCATTAGACGAGATATATTGATGAAAGCTGAGTGTCTTTTTAAGTGATTCATGACTAAAATTCCCCTCAGTTAGGTGGCTCTGGTGAAAAGATTGCATCATGCACTATACCTACACTATATCTGAATCCAGACCCAGATTTAGAAATGATAATTATTACATATTACTACTGTGTTAGATTCAATAATATGTTAGGGTTATGTTTAAAACATAAATTAACTCATAATGAGTGCATTCGCATCATTAATATTCAACCACAAACAATGACACAATGACTTTATTTACTGAACTAAACTGGCTTCTGCTGATACTGACACATCTTACAGCTTTCATTCGGTTTTACCTATCACACTAAAACAGTGAATAATGAGATGTTGTGAGGTGGTGCTTGATAAGTATTCAGACTGTTTGCTCACTTACAGTTTGCCTTTCTCATACAGGTAGAGGATGCCTTCTTTGAAGTTGTGCATCTGGCACAGGACAAGGGCCTTGTCAAACACAGTGTTGTCACTCCTCAGTAGCAACACAGCTTCCCCCTGCAGGACCTTCTTTCTCTGCCAAAAAGAAAAACAGAATGAGAAGCAGAATATTACATATTCAATAAATATTGAGCTTTATTAGAATAACGTCAAATGCACACAGCAGTTGCCTCGAAGCACTGAAATGTAATATGTTTGTTTTTGTTAAACACTACTATAATGAACTTTAAATCAAACATTCAGATCTGCAGATTATCTGCTTTAATTCAAGTGGTTTAACAAAAGTTTTGCGTGAAATGTTTATGAGTTAAAAGTGTTTTAGTCACTTACTCATTTTCTGAACAAAATAACATTATTTTTAATGTAATATGTATAAAATTGATTCAAGTGTTTTGCAGTTAACCGTTCAGTTGCTGCCTTTAGTTTTTTCCTCAGTAACTAAAAAAAAAATGCTTTGTTGGATTGAGATCAGGTGACCAAACACTTGGGTAGCTTTTGTATAACGCTTTAGGTCATTATCCTTTTGCATCATGAAGTGCTAACCCATCCGTTTCGCAGCATTTGACTGAATCTATGCAGAGAACATAGCCTTGAACACTTCATTTGAATTCAATTCAAGAGTTATTAAATTTAAGAGTTATTAAATTTAATAGTGATGTATAAACTAGAGAAGTGTGTAACTAGTTGACTAGATGACTGATTGTCGTTGTTGTTACGAGATTTACTAATAATTTAATCTAATTGTTAATAATTTTTATTGATGCACAATTCTGGTAAAATGATGTATCCTAACTGTTATGCTGCCATGTACGACCAGATGAAGATGGAGCATCGTTTTTGAGAAGCACCATGAATCTGTTAGTCTAGGCCTGATCTTTTTGTTAACACCATTAGAATGAGATTGTGCATACAAGCAGTGGAAATGAGAGTACAGTGGTCCCTCATTTATTGCGGGATTTACGTTCTAAAAAAACCTGCGATAAGTGAAATCCGCAGAGTAGCCAAGTGTATTTTTTATAATTATAGATTTATTAATTCTGTAAAACCCCTCACTACACACTTTGTACACTTTTCTCAAACAGGGAAGAAAATTTTCGCTTTTCTATCTTGTTTAAACACTCCCAAAGTCCAACCATTTGTGGAAAAATAAGTCCAGTATTATAGAATGAAACCAAAGGCACACCCACAGGAGTCGCCCAACGCTCTTCTAACAATTGTTAGAAGAGTGTCGGCTATGTCCGGGAACTTGGCCGATCAGTTGGATCAGGATCTGGCAAAGTGCAGGTGGTTTAGCATCTAGTGGGACGAGTCTGTGGACAGCAGCAGTAGAGCACGGCTGATGGTCTTTATCGGGTGGTATTTGATGGTTTCTCCACAAAAGAAGAACTTCTGACATTACTGCCGTTAAAGACAACTACGAGGGGAGTTGCCATCTATAACGCGGTGACGGAGTTTTTTGCGAAGAAAAAGGTACCGCTGGAAAAGCTGGTATCAATGACTACCGACGGAGCTCCTGCTATGATCGGCCGACATGCAGGATTCATCACTCACTGTAAAGGTGACACAGAGTTCCCAAACTTCATGCATTACCACTGCATCATTCACCAGCAGGCGTTATGCACAAAGGTGATCGGCTTCGAGCACGTCATGACTCCCGTTGTGAAGATCATAAACAGCATCCGCTCCAGAGCTAAACAGCACAGAACATTCAAGGTGCTATTGGAGGAGCTGTCAGCTGAATATGGTGACTTGCTACTACAAACGGAAATCCGATGGCTCAGCAGAGGATGGATTTTGCTTCATTTTTTGTCACTTTTGGGTGAAATCAAAGAGTTCATGCAATCCAAAGGGGAAGACACATCTCTGCTGGAGGACACTGAGTGGACACTTGACCTTGCGTTTTTAACGGACATTACTGGGAAACTGAACCATTTGAACTGTGAGCTGCAAGGTAAAGGTAAGACTGTTGCTGACATGATAAGTGCTTTAAATGGATTTAAAGCCCAGATGAGCATCTTCTCTGTGAATTTACAGAGAAAAAAGATGCTGCACTTTCCCTTTGTGCAGATGGTGCTGAAAGACAATGCTTCTGCATCTGAGACTTTTGACAAAGTTGCAGAAAAGTACACAAGTCATAAACCGACTTGGTCAAGAGTTTGAGAATAGGTTTTGTGACCTTGATCAGCTTGAGCCATGCGTGTCATTCATTTCCAATCCTTTCATGAATGTGGACACAACATGCATTGCTGAGAAACTAAGTTCAGTGTTCAGCTTGGATGCTGGACAGGTGGAAATCGAAATTGTAACATTGCAAAATGACCTCCACCTCAAAGCCTATGAGGGTACACCAAACTTTTGGTGCCTTGTTGACACAGAAAAGTACAGTGGTGTATGCACAGCAGCTACAAAAGTTGCCAGCCTGTTTGGTTCAACCTATCTTTGTGAATCAGCCTTTTCTGACATGAACTTCATCAAGTTCATGTCAGAACTTTATTTTTTGCCTCATTTTATTCTATTTACTCATCTTTTCTCCTTGTTACTATGTGGAGTGGTATATTCTGATTGTAAATTTGTTGTTTGGTTTGCGTTAGGACCGGAGATAAATGTTACTTTGTTCCTTGATTTTTGGTGCCCACTTGCAATATAAATTGGATTGTAGATAGGGGGCATGGTTTAATAAGAATATTTTCTTCTTCCTGCTCCTTTTCACACATGGTTGCAGTGCTTTACCGATAGAAAGTGTGGTTGGTTTGTCTGAAAGAACTAACTGTGGAAACTGTTGTACCAAGTGTGAAATAAATAAATGAAATGAAAGAACAAACACAGAACACGCCTATCTGATGCACATCTGCAAGACTCACTCAGAGTTGCAGTGTCAAGTTATACCCCAGATTACAACACACTGGTGAACAGCATGCAATGCCAGGTTTCCCACTAACAGACAAAGAAAGCCATACTAGATGTTCTCAGTGGCAACATTACAGTGTCATGTCAAAGTTGAATTTAATTATTGAAAAACAAATGTGTTTGTTAAGTGTAACATATGATAATTTGTTTTAAAATGCTGCAAATTTGGTGAAAAGTTCTGTAAAATGTGAAAGTTGATTTTTGTATGTTACATACATACAGAAATAATGTATGTAACAGTAGGGCTGCTCGATTATGGCAAAAATGATAATCACGATTATTTTCACTGAAATTGAGATCACGATTATTTGACGATAATTACTTAACCCTTTAAGACCTACTATAGAACCAAGTCCACCAGAGCTTATATTATTTTTTTACATGCTGTAGTGCCATTTGTGGGAGCATTTCAAGTTGCTATACATCAATACAACTGTTATAGCCCATATTTTAATAATATGTATGCATTAAGTCCATAGTAATTACATAAATTGCAAAAAAGTGCAATAAACTACAAAAAAAATTGAAAATCGCTTTTGTTTTGTTTACATATATTTCTACTTGGAGAAATTTAAGAGGTTTATCCCTCAAAACTTTAAATACAATAAAGTTGCAAAAAATAGTTTCCCACCACAGGAAATTTATTTTGAGTGTCTTCATAGTTTTATTTTGGAGATACAGCAATTTTTATATACTGCAGGAAAAACAAAAAACAATCCTATGATGCAAATTTGCAAAGAAAACAGCAGGTGCATCATTTCACTGTGGGAAGTGTTACGAACAGCTGATAGGAACGGCAAAGCGTGTTTCTGGAATATTATGTTTTTGTTCCTGCAAGCGCTTTTTATGCAATTTTTGCAAAGCTATATGTGGAATGAAACCGTGACCGAGGACAAGCTGATGGCATAAGATGTGAGTACAACTCCTCCGGTTTCATATGCAAAACAAATTATTGCGCTAGCTTACACGGTTCAGGTTCTACAGGGATTTAAAAATAGTTACGCAAAACGGAGCTTACTGCTCTGACCGGCTTTAAAGGGTTAACAATGACTTTAAAAAAATAATATAAAATAGTGTGCAACACCACTGAAGTTTTTTTTTTTTTAACTCTCTTTTCAACCAACGGCAGTCACTCTCCAAATAACTTCTGCTTAGCTTTCCGAGCTTCCCTCGGGTCCTCTTAATCAGCGGTCTCCAACCTTTTTTGCGCCACGGACCGGTTTATGCCCGACAATATTTTCACGGACCGGCCTTTAAGGTGTCGCGGATAAATGAGGGAGGGGCTAATAATCAGCTCAGTCATTTTTAATGATCGTTGAAAGCCCAGATCGTAATCGTGATTAAAATTCGATTAATTGAGCAGCCCTATGTAACAGTGCATAATTTGTTAAAATGTGTTAGTGGTAAGTAAAAATGTTGTAGAAGTGATCACTTCAAAATGTAAATACTTGCAGAGATTTATAGAAATAAAGTGTTGCATATTGATATTTATCCGTTTCCTACCTTGTTTCCTACTTGCATTCTTTATAATTATGGTGAAAAATAATTAACATAATCAGTGTCTTTACATAGATGAATATAATTAATTATTAATGATAACATATAATTAAAGATAAATTGAGGAAATTTGTTATTTCAGAAGTGTGTGTCAAACTGGTAGCCCTTCACATTAATCAGTACCCAAGAAGTAGCTCTCACTTTCAAAAAAGTTGGTGACCCCTGGTCTACAGCCAATCAGGACACAGAACACAATGTGCTGTTTAAAATAAAATTAAAAAAGCATGCAAAATTGCACACAAAAAAAAAAAAAAAAAATCAGCGAAAAAGCGAGGCTGCAAAAGGTGAATAGCAAGGGACCACTGTATAACTACTATATCCTACCAGGAGGAGACCCCCGGAGGACACCCAGGACAGCCTGTAGAGATTACAACGCTTGACTGGTATGGGAACACTTCATGTTTCCCTGGATAAGATGGAAGAGGTGGCTGGTGAGAGGGAGGTTGGTGGGTTGATGGCCAGACAACTAATTGTTTTGTCATTGATAGGGATGGGTACCGGTATCCGGTGCCATTATAGCACCGGTTCTGGTATAAACGGTAGTAACCGGACCGAAAAGCAGCGCACATTTTGGTGCTTTATTTCAGTGCTTTTTTTTTCCCCTGACATGTCATACACTTTGGATTCTAGCCAATCATTTTACCTTTCCGAGGATAGTAGGCGGGCCCAGATACGTACGTTCTTTTAGAGCAGAGCTACAGATTAAAAATGCCCAAGGCGAAGCGGTCAAAAGTCTGGCTGTACTTCACAGCAAAAGATGCAAACTCAGCAGCCTGCAACAAGTGCTTTAAGCTGATACTGTGCAGAGGTAACTCCTCGAATCTGATGAAACACCTGGCGATGCATAGCATTTTGTTAAAAGCCGAGAAATGCGCCGGATTTGATAGCTTGCTGCGAGACCTCACACATCTACTGTGGGTGGGTTGCCCGTTATCAGACCCGGAGTTAGCAAAATCCCCCAAAAACCCGAAGAGTAGAGTCCTGGCCCCTAGCCCTGCCAGTGTAGCAGAAATGATGACGGATGATGATAGCAGCAGCAGCCGTTCTTCTCTGCGTGAGTAGCTTAATGTTGTTTGTGTGTGATTTACGTTGAGTAGGCTAATCACGTTATTACATTAATGCATGTAAGGTGAACTAGCAAACACCGTCGTAGTTACATGCGGCTGTCTTCTTGTTTGATGGCAGATACTCCCTTCACCAATGCATCAATTGTTAGATAGAAAGCACTTCAGAATAGAAAAATGTGCTGGTGTGAATAAGATTGTATAAAGCACTTTGAGTCCTCAGGCAGAGTAGAAAAGCACTATACAAGAACTGTGAGCATAACCAGTCCTTTGCGTCTTGCTACAAACCCTCTATATTTCCATTCATGAGAATCGGTTTCCGTTTCTTTTGGTACATTTTTAAGAATGGATCACATTTTCAATCATTTCGCCAATCCACAAGTTTTTATAATATTCCATATAGGTTTGTTTTGTCTAAATATTTATTGAAATGCTTTTATCCATATAAAAAAAAGTTTATTATAAGGATTCTTTCCTTGTTTAAAATAAATAAACAAGTAAATGAAAAACAATTTCCTGAAATGACAATTACACTCGATTTTTAAAATCTTCATGGCAGCTTGTATAACTGTCTAAATGTTATGCACTGACCTCAGGATCTTGTTCATGTGCCCAGTCTTGCAACCGTAGTTCCAGTAGTGTGTCATACACACCCTGGGGAGAACGGGGGTCCACCTCAATCATGTGCTCCAGGAAGGCTTTGAGCTCCCGAGGGTTATTGGCAAAAATCGGGATGAATTCCTCAGAGTTTGCCTAAAATACAAACAGTAGTGGAGGAGAATATTTCTGATAAACACTTCAAATTTATGATCAAAATTAATGATTATCTAGGAGAATAACAGTATTGCTCAGAGACCTTATTGACCACACTCCTGTCCAGGCTGTCTTTTTCAGCAGCGTCTCCACTGGGTTGGTAATTAGTGCATAAGCCCTTCAGGAGGAGCGTGGTACCTTCAGGGACATGGTGCATCAGTGTCTTGCCATAACGCTTCATGTTGCTTTCAGCTTGTTCAAAAGGCAGACGCCCAATGTAGCGCAGCCCTTCTTGATAATTCTGTGGGAAAATAATAACAACAAGCTTTTTATTATTTGTCACATACGGTATCATAGAGTACAATGTGTAGTGAAATGTTCTTGTGTTCGTACTGCGGACAGGCTGCAGACGTAGCCGCACCATTCCAGGGCTTTTTTTAGGTTAGCAAGAGGGGTCTAGCCTTACTGAATACTGGGTGGGAATCGAACTTGCAACTCCCGCTCCAAAAACGTGTAGTCTTACCACTAAACTATCAAGCTGCCACTCTCTGCCAAATATCCACTCTCCATTAGAAAGAGAGTTAATATGTTAAATACTATTTTATTTTTGATGTGGTATAAATTCCAAAATTCTAGCTGACTTTCTTCTTGAGTAATTGCATTCACAAGATTTTCAGAAAACTTGACATCTGACCTTACAGACACTAAAGTTACTAAAATTCCAACTTGTTTGAGCTTTTAATAGTAGACGCACCTATGAAATGAATTTGATAATACTACGTTGCCTCCTTCGGGTGTCCACACTGCCCGCCCAAGGTTGGGTGAGGACACTACCCCTCATTAATTGCCCTTATCTTAATTCCCCCTTTCAGATAAATAAAGTCTCTCTGATTCTGATTCACCTTTTACAGTGGAGGGGTAAAAAGGACAGGACTGTGCACAAGTTCACAAATAACTTTTACAATGTTAAAAGGTCTTAATTAGCTTTAAAAATTATTTTGACTAATCACCACCTTATATCAATAATAATCAGCCATGAGCTGCTCTAAGCAGTTGTCTAGCACTGCTTAGAGAATATAATACTATGGCTATGAACATAACAAACCAATTTGTGGGACCCACTCATAACAAAAATTTAGCGTCAGTAGATCCATTTTGCAAAGAAGTCCTGTAGTGGAATGGAAGAATTCTGAATGCAAATATCACAGTGATCGTAACCCAAATCCAAGATATACCTTACCTGAAGACCATCTCAATTCTAAGAGCACAAAAACAGTGAATGCAAGTCCAGACAGTCTAGGAACGTCATAGAAACAGAAAACTTTGAACGAAAAACAGACCAAAATCTTTCAGACAAGAACTGAAAGACTCTTAGTTGCTAATAAAAAAATGTTTACAAGTTGCAATGTTTGCCAAAGGAAACGTTAGTAATGCATTGGATGGCTTTTTAAGGTTAAGGAAAAAAAAAAAAAAAGGAAGAGGACAATTCCTAGTAGCCCAGAGAAGTGATGAACATCTATCTCTAAAGAAAGGTTTGAACATTTGTACCTTCAAGTCCTCCAGCTGGATCTTTAGGTACCACTCGTGGTGCATATGTTTCTCAGCCAAGAAGACAGCGTGGCTGTGGTAGCCAGCCTGCCGGAGAACCTTGATGGCAATTTCAACATCAAAGTGTACTTCATTTTCACTGCTCTGTTTAAATACAGTGTGGGAAGACAACACATTTATGATATACCAACCATTATTGACTCTTGCCAATCTGGGTTTTAATGACAGTCCGAATTAAATAGCAGTCTTAATCATCAAAAGCCCAACACATCAGTGCTCACGTTCACCAGTCAGTCACCTTAATGAACTCTTCCAGCTTGGAACTGTCCTTGAGCTTGGTATAACAGTTGAGCAGCAGTGTAGTGTGATCTGCATTGGCCAGTGACTGCCTGTGCAGGGCTTGCAGATAGGCTGTCAGATTGTGGATCCTCTGTGCATCTAGAAATTTCCTGATGACATATGATGGCTCCAGCTTCCCAATGGTGCTGTGTGAGAAAACAATGTATTTTTAAGAGGGATTTTATTAATGGCTCATTTGATCTGTAATGTATATATCACTAAATATGTTCAGTGATTAAAACACTTGAAAATTAAGAAATAATAATAATATCATCATTCAATAATGAAATTTCTCAATTTCAGCACTTGCTATCTTTGCACTCTTTTCAATAAATTGAGCCTTTGAATAATGGCAAAACTCATTCTCATCCAGCAAGTTCCAGTCCTGGCAAATGCAATTACCGAATATACTGCTGAATGGCACCGTCGTGGTCCCCCTTAAGGTACAGGTGATCACCATATTGTCTGAAGATATCTGATACTCCATCACTGTCCAGGTGCTGACTCTTAGCCAGGTTTATGGCCATCACAAACAGATTCTTCTTAAACAGCATCTTTAAAGACAAACATTCAGGTAAAAGTTATTCTACCTGAATAACTAGATTTATAGATGATTCAATTCACTGTTCATCACTGCTTTTAAACAACTCCTCAATCAGCAGTTACAGAGACTGAACTGACCTCCAGTTTGGTCTGTGTGTCTTTCTCCTGGAGAACAAACATTTTTCCATCTCTAGTCAGAATGTAGAAGGAACCCCACTCTGCTACCACGTCAATGACATCATCAAAAGAGGCACTGTAGGCAATGAATTTGTTGTCCAGGTCATAGATAGTTAGCAGCTGTTTGTCTGATGGCGAGCTCTCTCCACTACTGAAGCATGTCCTGAATTAAAAATGAATAGAATCATTGTCTCATAGGACATGTATTTTTGTAAGTCACCTGATGAATATGGATTATTGAATTAAGATTTGTGATTTAAAGATGGCTTTGAATAACGGAATATTAAAATTCAATATTCTCTTCTTTCAGATGAAATACTCCGTGAATATTACTGTCACCTCATTCTTTCAGTCCTGTTCTTACTTGTTGGGTGACTTTACATCCCTTATGAGTAAAAACAGATATCCACGGTGCCAGTGGGCCAATAGCTTGTGTCCATCAAAAGCAAAACAGGGCCCTCGTTCATCAGGCTGATACAGGTACACACATTCTTCACCAGCTACAATGAACTGAGAATCCTGGGATGGATCTGCCAGGGATGAGCAGCGCAGTGCACAGCCGTGTGTATCCAGCTCCACTTTTGGATACTCCTTGATGGACAGGGTGTAACACTAAACAAATAAAGATGACAAAGAGTACTTCAAAAGACTGAAAGACTGTATGCTCACCTTCAAACTATGAGAACATTCTCTTTAAAACCTACAGGATAAACAAGGTAATCCAATATAAAACCGAAATGAGCACACCTTTGTTTAATATCACTTAAATGTCCAATACTTCAAATAATCTCAACTCTTATGAACAATAAAAACATTTAGACAACATCAACACCACGTTTACTGCATGTGTTCTTTTTGGCTCCACATGATGATTGTCAGCCTTTGTAATGACAGAACATTAAGATCACTGACCAATTAAATCCCCAGTGGGAACAAAGCCGCATCAGTAAACCATTGAAAAGACAATACAGACTCTGCACAATCTAGCACTCAATAATAGATGGGTATGTGTCTTGATACACGCTCAATAATCCGAGAAATTAATTAATGGCCAACAAACAACAATCTCTGAATCACTGAGGGGGACTAGGTACATCTTTCACCATCTTACAATACCGTGATCCCCCAACTATATGCAAATAGTATTCATGACTTAAGGTCATGACAACTGATATATTAATGATCATGAAACTGATATTGTGGCTGAAAGCTATGCAGTAGTGCTGATTTTGATTGTTCTTTTAATAACTCTGAAGACATCACTTGGGTGAAATTTTTCTTCTACCTCCTCTTTTCTCCATTATATATCCAGGTGAATTGAATCAACTTCTTAAGATGGCTAAGTGCTATAGATATTGCATAGTATCACAAAAACATATTTAATCTTTGGCACAAAAGTGAAAGATTAACCTTTAGTCATTTCTGCGGGACATTTAAAAACAACAGCTGGTGACCAAATTGCTGTACCAACCTTTTTTGCGCCACGGACCGGTTTATGTCCGACAATATTTTCACGGACTGGCCTTTAAGGTCTCGTGGATAAATGCAACAAAATAAAACCAGTACACCCCCCCCCAAAAAAAAAAAAAAGATTTATTCATAACACACAGGAAAATCCCAGGGACACCGAGTTAACGATAAAAACTATTAAAAAAAACCCCAAAAAACAATAAAATCCCTGAAAACCATAAATTTCACACCCGAGCCTCAACTCTCACAGCCCGGTACCAAATGACTGGCCTGGGGGTCAGGGACCGCTGCTGTACATGTAATATATTCTAACAGCATAAATCACAGAACAAAATAACAGTATAAGATAAAATGAGAAAGCACGAGTAAAAAAACAACACAAAAAAAAGTCGTCTGAACTCATTCTGATTTGAAAGCAGAGAATAAAAATTAGTTTTCAAATGGGTTTTGAAAGCAGCTGATGTGGGAGAGTTCCTGATCTGAAGGGGTAGTTCGTCCACAGTTTCAGAACACAAATTGCAAAGGCCCAATCCTTTAATCTGGACCTCTGGATGGCGAGGAGAATTTGCTCAGCAGACTGTGTGGTTTTTTTTGTTTGTTTTTTACTGTGGGTCCTGTACTTTTTTGATATTAGTAAATGTAAACCTTCACTTTTAAATCTTACATAAAAGCAGGGCTCTAGAGTGCGACCAATGTGGTTTCAAATGCGACCAAATTTTTTCAATGGTACGACTGAAAAAAGCATCCTAGGTCACACCGGTGCGACCAACAGCTGTTCAAGTCTCCGTGTGGTCAACAACATACACACATTATGCCCCTATCGTGGTCTAAACCAATCAGAGATAGTCAAGGGTGGGACCTCTCTGATTGGCCGTGGTCCAGATATTTCTGTAGTCCTTCATGTGTACGTTTGAAAGTGCAGGTGTATAGAGGGAGGTGAGTAGCTTGAATAAAGCGATATCGATTCATTAAATCCTGAATCAACTTTTAAATATAAATGTATTTTGCCAGAAATGCCAGAATCTGAGGTTAAAGATCACAAAACTATTTCAACAACCACCAAACAGCAAATGAGAACAGGTAAACGGATTCCACACAAAGACGTAAACACAGAGCACGGACCCGGCGCATCAGCTTTCTCTTACTCGGCTTTCTCACCCGACGGCCCATACAGGGACACGCCGTTGGGGCTGAAAGCCAAGAGCTCACTGATTCTGATGCGTCGGTGGGTTCGCCCTTTGTGTTTATGTCTTTTTTGCGCTAGATTCTGAGCTGCAGGTTTTGTCTCTCTCCAACCAAAATTCACTGAACCAGCAGCAAAAGAAGATCCAAACTACGCTTCACATTTGAAAAATGTCTTCATTAATTCGCTCTAACTTCTGCTATTTTGCTTCCACCACGAAGCAAAACGGCATTATTCATACCGTTGTTTACAGCGCTGTTGGCCGCTATATATATATATATATTTTTTTTTGTTTGTTTGTTTGTTTTGTTTGTTTTTAATAACTCAAATGAGCCTCGGACAAGAGAGCCTAATTTCTGCTGTTCAATACTAAAGAAACTACACTTTTAAAATTATGCAAAATTGCAGAATATTTTTAAGGTTATATAATATAAAAAGCCAGGCCAGGAAACTCTGCTTCATGTTTTTCTGTTTTATCCTCAATTATTTTGACACAAAAGCATCTGCTGTGATGCTCACACCTCTGATGAAGTCTCACAGTGTCAGTACTGATAGATGATCAGAATTATAATATTTCTGTATGTCTGAGGCAAAATTGAATCGAATCAGCAAACAGCTCATCAGAGGAGGCAGAGATGATGATTAAGTTTAACATTGTCTACAATACTAGTACTAATACTTTTTTGGCACTTTAAGCACAAGCACTTTTTCAGTAACTTATCTTTCTTGTAGAACTGTGCTCCAAATAAAGAACGTTGTGCTGACAAGATTGTTAGTTAATCATTTACAAATGAATATTGTCTATATGGACAGCAATTTTCCCCACAAAAAAGTGAACATGTAAAACTGCAGTGTTACGCGGTGCAGTTGAAAAATTTGGGTGCGACTTAACTTTTGTTAAGTAACCGTGGCTAAAAGTTAGTCTAGATCCCTGAATAGCAAATGCCAAAGTGTTCAACTTTGAACGAATGTAGCGACTGTTAGGTCACTTCCATTAATTGACATTTCAAAGATATTGCACAGGATGGTCCTCATTTCTGTATAGCACATGGTGACTTACGTAGACTTTCTCCAGGGTGGCAACAAACAGATGGGTAACTTTTGCTACTTGGCGGAAGGCGAGGCCAGTGACAGGGCTAGCTCCCTCATGCAGAGTCAGAGTTTTACTGTGACGATCTCTGGTGATGTCACCTTTGGTCAAAACCACACTGCCATCCGTGAAGCCTGCCAGGAAACACAGAATCTGCTATAACCTTTCAGAATGACGACTGGGTCAGTAGACCAAAAGAACCTTTCTTCGAGTCTTACCAATTGCCATAAAGTTCAGGTTTTCGTGCACACTGAGGCAAGAAACTTCAGTTGGTTTGTTGCCTGGAATTGCAGGAAATATCCTAGTGCAGAGAGGATTTCCACTGTCCCTCTTGTCCAGGTTCCAGACCTTTACCTAAGAAATAAGAATTATTCAGTTTAGCAGTGGTTTCTGTATGTGTGTTTTGAAAATGAGACTTCTCTGGGAAACATCAGACTTACTACAGGGTTTATTCCATGTTCATCCTGACCCACTGACACAAGGATGCTGTGTTGCTTAAGCTGGTAGAGATGTGTAACTCGCAACTTGTAGGCCTGAAAAGACATCAGCTGCAAGGAGCGCATCAAAAGCCAGATCTTACCTTCCATATGTAACACTACAAAGGTTAAGGATAAATATATTTACAAAACAATTTCTAAAATACAAAAAAGCTGTTTATAAAATTGCTGCAAAATTAATTAAAAAAAATACCCCATCCTTTTCTCTTTTCAATATACTTACATAAATGTATATGCTTACATACTATATGCACAGTATATTTTATTTTAATATTATTCATCAAGACCTGGTTCCAAGTAATTTCACAAGTTATATTATATTGTGAAAGTGTCATACTCCTTTCCTTTGTAGTTTCATACTTGTGACTGATGAGGAAATACCTGAATTTATTAATAAATCTAGGCCTTCTGCCTGTCATCTTAACCCACTTCAACTCAAGTGGAAGTCCTGTTTATCCCCTCTCCTGACGTTATTCACTCTTGTCTAATTTAACTGTTCCGCTCTTAAAACAATTGTGATAATTCCAACACTTGAGGAACCTGGTGCAGACCCTTTCACCTTAACTACCTTTTCTTTCAAAAGAAAAACTTACTATCACCTTACTAGACAATGTTTAACCTGTTTAAACAATTGCAGTCTCGTTTTCAGCCACAGAAACTTAAGATCATTTATGATTTTAACTATACTTGTGCTGCTCCAGTTGTCAGTGGTTTTTTTCCACGTGGGTCTTTCTTAGATCACCATTTTATTATTTATGTTTTGGTCAGATTTTTACTCAATTTCATTTCTATGCCAATGACATAGAAATGACATAGTTTCATGGCCATTCAATTGAGTTCCGCTGTCTCAACTTTTTCTCTCACTAAAACAGATGTTCTTCTAGTAGAAACCAAAAATCTCTATGTGTACTGAAATTAGGGCTGTTCGATATAACGATATATATCGGATGACAATATAAAAACGTCTATCGTTTCATTTTACGCTATGGTTTGTTTCCAGGCGTGGCAAAATAAACTGTTTACGGCTATATTTTGTCATCGTTTTGATGGTCACTGTAGTGGCTATATTAATTTCTTAAAGTTCACTCTTTCTCTTATATTTAATATAACCACACTATGGACGGACAAGCGCCTGTTTTTATGCATTGTTAGCAACAATGACGGTATAACCATCGCGTGTCCGCTTGTTTATTTTCCACATAAACCTTTCACAATAAAGCTCAAGATCCTGTTGAGACTTTTCAAAATAAACTGAATCACTTGAAAGACTATGCAGAGTATTTACGGATGAGAAGCAAAAAAAAGAGCCGTCAGGTGCTAAAAAATAAACCTTATACTCAAACGTTAGAATAGGCTTTTCCCAGCAGCAGGCTGTGTAATAAATACTTACACAAAAAATGGCGGCCGTTACAACTTATGTCTAAAAATGTATAGTTTCATACAAAGGTTAAAAAACTCGCCTCCAGGTAAACAACGCCCAGCTGGAAACACTTCACGCAAGTCGAGCTGCCCGAGATTCACAGAATTACAGAAAATGTTACATTTTTGTGGTTTATATCGTTATCAGGATGATAGATGTCTTATATCGGGATATGAGATTTTGGTCATATCGCACTGCCCTAGCTGAAATTCTCTAATCTTTCCTCCCTCCCAGGTTAAAATTATATCAGACCGTCTGGAGATTTACATTTATGTAGTTGGCTAAGCCCATCCCTTACAGCTCTTGTTTATGCTCTGGTTACAGTAAATCCATCCTCTCTGGCTGACCACAGACACCTCTATTGCCTTAAACCTTCCAAAATGTTGGTGATCATGTCATTACCAGAAACACTTTCAGAGACCATGTGTACTCCTGTCATTCAACTGGCATCATGTAAAATAGTGAATCAATTTTAAGATTCTGCTTCTTAATTGAACTTTTTCCACAGTCTTGCAGTTTCATGATTTTCTGAACATCTCAGTTGAGTGGCCCCTAATCTTTGGAGCTGTCTCCCGCACCACATTCCCAACATTTATTTAACATCTATTCATCTTAAAAGATAGTCTTAAAACACATTTTCATTCCAAGGTGTGTCTTAAAAGGTGCATATTAAAAAATATATTATTTATGTAGATACAATGGATATAGGCGGATACTAGGCCAGTATTAATCATTTTCTAAAGCCCTGTGGGTCTCCATCGGAAACCCGTGCAAGGCGGTTATAATAAGCTCGATTAGCATCTAACGTGCTGGTGTGCATGTCAACCCTTTCTGTTGTACACTATTTTTTACGAACTTTACGCGGCTTTTCCCTTACTTTTTCTTGCTGGAATAAACACGATGACTAACTACAAGTTCCCAGTAAAGCTAAAGATTAAGTGGGAAATACGTAAAATGTAGCTTTAGACGGAAAGAAGTCCACGAGGGTTCGTGCAGTCTCAGACAAGCAGTCGAGCCTCAACTCCAACGATAACGTATACATTTGCATGTAGATTGATATGGCGCAGAAAACGAAGCCAGCCTAGCTCTGTCGCCGCCTACAACCTACTGCTTCAATAACCTGCAAAGACAATAGTTACTTATCTCGAAGATATGCTCTACATTACCTGAATTAAAATTTTACTGTCACGAATTCTGGGTTATTTAGCGTCAGTTATCAGCAAGCTAGCATCACATCAGCTAATGTAGCTAACTGTTGCCATTTAAGGATATCTCCGAGAACGATATGACCCCGACCGGAGTCAGAAGCCGAGATCCCTTTTGGGAGAAGAAAGTTTTTCCCATTGTCATCTGGGTCCTTCACCGTATCCTTATCAAAGAAGACAAATTTCCTCCACTGTAAGAACGCTGCCATTTTGTTAGTATTTGCAGACTGGGGTGTTGTCATGTGACACGTGAGTCACATGACCAAATCGCTGGTTCTCCATTTCCTGGCTATAGCAGGCATGAGGCAGACCTCTGGGCCCTATTTCAGGAAGCCGGTTTAGAAAACTCAGAGTGAAAAACGATACTCAGGGTTGAGTAACCCCGAACTGTCCAACTCGGAATATTCGGTTTCAGAAAGGCTGATAACAAGTAGTTCAGTCAACGCGGAGTTGCTTTAACCCCAAGTTAAGCGCGCGCACGAGGATACATAAAGCCCTGATTAGTGGAGCACAGATTAAGCGAGTCACCATGGAGACGGAGGGAAAGAAGGCGCGGTCAATGTATTTTACAGCGCTTGAGGCCGAAATTCTGATGGCAGCATATGCCGATAACATGCAAATTCCGCGGAAAAAAAGTAACACAGGCTCAGCTGCAAAAGAAAGGGAGCATGCATGGCAAAACATAGCCGACAGAGTCAATGCGTGAGTGTTAATTTAAACATTGATCTAGGGATTTCCACCCATTTAACACGTTATTTTATTATATTTTATTTTTTATTTCATACATTTTATTTTGTGACGTGATGTGAGCGCAGGTGCAACCCAACAGGCCCCAAACGTTCCTGGCAGCAAGTAAAAATGAAATATAAAAATATAGTCCAAACAGGTGGTGTAATTGTATTATGAGCCATAGTGCTTGGTCTGTTTGTCCGATGTAAATCGATTGCAGTTAGAGGCTACATTAATTTTCTTTCTGTAAGCACTTATTGAAATTATCTGAGCACATTACAAGTACATATTTGCTTACTCTGTATGCTCAAATGTGACCCGTTATAGCCAACAGAAAAAAAAGCGGAGGCCCGAAAAACAGGTGGGGGTCCTCCACCACCACCACTCACAGAGGCTGAGCAGTTGGCTTCCACATTTGTGATAATGTTGGCAGCATCACATATGATCTTCACAGTGCAGAGAACACAAATTAGCATCCATTACTATAGTGAAATAATTTGTTAGTTTGAAATGCTACAGGGAACTATGTACCTGTACATTAATGCTGTGGAAAGACTTCCTGTTCACATAGTCTCCTTCATTTACTGAAGGAGCAATGATTGGAATGTGAGTGCCATCTATACAGCCAATCACGCCTGGGAACCGTGAGAATAAATGTAAAATTTAAGTAGTAGTTCAAATATCACCACATCATGAATTAAGTTTTGTTCATCCTGATACCTGCAATTTTGTGGCATCCCTCTTTGATAAATCGTGTGGGTCTATGACCGGGGAACACCACAAACGAGTACAGGAGACGTTTCAGTGCAACTGTAACATTCCTGACTGCCCGACAGACGGTAGCCTTGGAAACGTGCTCAGCGTCACCAATATTATACAGAAAGCTCCCGTTTGCAAAAAACCGAAGTGCAATACAAATAATATGTACAGAACTGAGAGAATGTCCGCGATGTGTCACATGAGCAATATTAGGCCTGAGGATGTTATTCAAATAAATTATAGATTGTGCTGAAAAACGGTAACGTTCACACAGGAAATCATCAGGAAATGATAAAATGTCCAAACGCGCTCTAATCACTCTCTCCCGGCGGAGAGCTCTGCGGAGAATTTGGGCTTCAACATCTACTGGCTCTTCAAGGAAGGGGCACGCCATGTCTGACACTTCCTACAGTCAGGTTTCCGACAAAGAGGCAGAGAACGTCAGGGTTAGTTGAAGTAAACCTGCTAGGGGGCAGGTTAGCTTCACGGAGTGTGTCGTCATAGTAACTCACTCAGAATTAATCTAAACTCGCTTTGTGAAACCGAAAACCCAGAGTTTTCGTTAACTCAGGGTATACTTACTCAAAGTTTGCACTAAACCGGCTTCCTGAAATAGGGCCCTGCAGAGAAAAATGTGTGTATTTGTTCATATAGCAGCGGTCAGGACTTGACTGGGACAAAAAAATCAGCCTGGGCATTTTGACTAGAGAACGGCCCACCAGGTATTATAGGAAAAGCCATAAAGCCTTTGAATGAAAACAAATGCTGTTGTGACAGTGATGTACACTGTCTTGTTGGTATATATGTATCAATCTAATAAACTTAAACCTACACCATCCTCCCTATTCTGGTACTTACTTACCAGAAATATCAAACAACCTAATCAATAATTACATATACCTAACTAGCAGGGTTGCCAACTCCCAGTAAAAAAAATAGGGGACCACCCCCCCACCCTCCGCCTCATGATGCTTAATCGACGTAATCGACTTTAATGTATTGCCAGGGTAAAACAAATGCACAGAAACCAGTTATTTTTCTACAGTAATTAAATAGATTCAATATCTTTCTGCAACAGAATTGCAGACTGCACACATGGTACTATAGCTTATTAGGGCATATATTAGACTTAATATTTACTATATACATTAATGAATTTTTATATATTTTACATCAGATGACCACTTTGGTTGTAAGATTTGGTTGTATTTATTAAAACCTAGACATTTTAAATGAGAATAAGAAAGAAAAGTTTACGGCTGTGGCTCCAGCAAACATCAGCTGATACTAGAAAGTAATATCAAATAAATTATAACAACAGCTTATCAAGCTTAAACGTGTTGCTGTTGTTTAGCGCGACATCCGCTGGTTTCGTCTTTCTGGCGCAAAGTGGGGGATAAACAAACGAGACGGACTTAGGACAGCAAAGCCGATCAGCTGATCATTGATGAGTTTCATGATTGAAGTAGCAACAGGAGATGGAGGGGGAGAGAATGAGAGAAGAAGAGGCAGCTGTGCAGCGTAAAGACACAGAATAACTCCAGCTTTGTGTCTTTTTTATAAAAAAAAATTGCTGAAGTTCGGGACAAATGACGTTCCTTTACACCAAAATACAGAACTTTAAAGTTCGACCTCATCGGCTGTAATTGGTCCAGCCCAGAGTCGATCATGACCATTTGGCCAATCCACCACCTTTCATTGTTTATACCGTTACAAAAAAAACAAACAAACAAAAAAAAACCGTCGGCCCATTAAAAACGAAAAATCACCATCAGCCCACCGGGCAGATGCCCGGTATGCCCGATGGCCAGTCCAGCTATGGCAGCGGTTATACAGTTTACAGTTATATACAGTGTTGGGAAGGTTACTTTTAAAATGTATTCCATTACAGAATACAGAATACATGCCCCAAAATGTATTCTGTAACGTATTCCGTTACGTTACTCAATGACAGTAACGTATTCTGAATACTTTGGATTACTTAATATATTATCATGCTTTTTACAACAACGTGAATGTACTATTGCTGTGTGATTTATTACTATTACTGAAGGTCCGCGACTCCGAACTGTAGTAAAGGGACCTCTGGCTAATACGGCGGGGTCCCTGTCGGCTCGTAGCCGAAAAATAGCTTTACTTTGTTGTGTGGGTCAACTTTTCTTGCGAGAGACAGAGAGAGGCGTTGAAAGACTGCTCCAACGGAACTTATTGTTTTCGGAGGAAAACACGAACACGGTGTACAGTCGAGTCTTAATAGCTTACTTACAACTGGGCTCGTCAGGCACTCTTCTTGGCTGCAGTGGTTATTATTATATTTACATGCTTCCAGCTCCCGTTTTTCCTCGACGACAACTCGTACCTTTCCACTCCCCTTTTTCTCCCTCCTCGCGCTCACAGACCCATAACGTGTATGGCAGTCCATTCTCCCTGCAACACGGACTACACTGCCCATGATGCTACATTCTTTAGAGCTATGCTTGTAGCATTCAGCCTGTTAGCTTAGCACAACAACAACAACAACGAAAAGGCTCTCAGGAAACACACAGTCAAAAGAGAGAGAGAGAGCGTCGCCCTGTAACCATGGCAACCGTAACGCTGCCGCCTGGAACAACAGCACGTAGCTGTCAAACAAAACCCAAACAGTCCTGACCCGCGACAATATTAAACAGGAAAGTACCGCAGTGTAATCCATTTATTTCAACAAAGTAACTGTATTCTGAATACCACCTTTTTAAACGGTAACTGTAACGGAATACAGTTACTCATATTTTGTATTTTAAATACGTAACCGCGGTACATGTATTCCGTTACTCCCCAACACTGGTTATATATGGTACAGATAAAGGTGAGAGGGGGGTTACTGGGGCTTCGTTAGGTACACCTGTTTAGCAGATCCTCCAAAAATATCTAATCAACCAATCAAGTCACAGTACCTTAGTGTATTTAGGAATGTTGAAAAAACCTGTTTAAGTTCTAATCGAACCTCAGAATGAGGAAGAAAAGTGGTTTAAGTGACTTTGGCAAGGTTGCTTGTGACAGATGGACTATTTCACAAAGTGCTGACCTTTGCGCCACTAAACCTAATCTTAAAAGTAGAGATAGTGTCTGTCTCCTGAATCCAAATTGGAAACTGGCTCCACAGAAGAGAGGCCTGAAAGCTTTGCTTCCCATTCTACTTTTAAATGCCACAAGTAAAGTCACAAGCAGTTGGCATACTCTAGGATAGTAGAAAAGTGCTATATAAGAATCAGTCTATTTACCAAGTAAGCCGGTAATCTGAAGAGTGAAGTGCTCTATTGGGTTGATAGGGTACTATAAGGTCTTTGAGATAAATGGGGCTGAGTGAGCATGCAAGTGCCAATGCCAGGGATTCTTACTGCAACATTTTGGATCAGGGAGTTTTAGGATAAATAATAATCTGATAATCTGACTGATAATAATGAATTACAGAAGTCCCAGAAGTAACAGTTCCATGAACTAGTTTTTAGCATTACTTTGAGACAGAATGTTTCTAATTTTGGAGATATTGTGGAAATGGAAGAAAGCAGTCCTGCATATTTGTGTAATATGTGCATTGAAGGAAATATCCTGATCAAAAACAACTCCAGCATTCCTCACAGTGTTGCTGGAGGCCAATGTAATCTTCCAAAAATATTGGAAATTGAATTCCAATCCTACTAAAAAAGTGAATTCTTTTTGTCCATGATACACAACAAAGAGATATTTGACATATTCTTGTTTAATTACAAATAGAATATTTGATATCAAAGGACCTAAAACAAAATCAGCCATTGAATGTGGAGAAGAAACTAAAAGAATGCAAGACCAAATTACACTTGTGTTTTAAAAAATATCTTCCAGTGGTGAGTACCAAC